GCAACCTCTATAATGCGCGATCGTCATTCTCAATTTCTAAGCCATATCGTCGATCGTCGTTTCCCCGTAACAATATACAGATTATTGTTGTTTAAAAAATGATTAAAACTAATAATAACTATTAAAAACATGCAAATTGCTGTTTCATTTACTGTATATTAAAAATATATATTATATACTGCATATATTATCATTATATTATTTACATAATAATAAAAATATTTTTTTAAAAATAAAAGTACTTCAACATATTGTTTTTCTTAAGTGATTTTATATTTAATTTCAAGTATTTTAAAATTCTATATAAACTAATATTTACATTTTTCTTATAGATTAATCTATATTTATATCTTTTTATAATTTGATTATACTAACTGATATCAGGTAAATAAGCCAAAAGATCAAATGGGATTTACTTAATAGAAATTTTATAATTAACTTAAATCATTTATATTAAAATAAATCAATTTAAAAATATTATTAACATTTTTTGATATAAATTAAATCTAATTTATATTTTTAAAATTTATTAGTTTAGTTTTAACTTTTTAATATTTTATTAATATTTATATTAAAAGTTTTTTTTTATATAATTGTTTTACTAATAAAATTTTGTTTTAACTTTTAATTATTAATATCTTAATTTAATTATCAAAATTTTATTCAAAAATTTTATTTTATATAACTTGAGTTTTTATAATCAAACTTTTAAAATTGATTTATATGTTGCAAAATTCAAAATATTAAATATTTTGTTATAATTATATTGATAAAAATAATTTTTTATCAATAAAAAAAAAAAACTCTTTCTCACAATGCTTCAATTTGTAAAAAATTTCCTTTTTTGATAACAACATAAATGGTAGACAGTAAACAGTCAACAAGAATCTCTTCCTGGAAGAGAAATCCATCTTAGCTTACTGCAGGGTGCATAGGGTCGATCAACTCTCAATAGAGAGGTGAATGTTTAGGGCTGGGCAAAATCTCTTTGACTAAACTTTTTGTTTTACTGAGTGAAACCTATGTAAGCAACCTCCAAATAAAGAAAATCTTTTTACTCATTCAAACACTTCACCACTTAATATACTTCAAAATCATATACAAAACCAAACACAATCTTATCTACAAGAGGCAATATTTTATTTTTTCAGAGTTTTTGTTTTCTGCTGATAACAACTAGAACCAGATTTATTATAATCTTCTGACTAGTTCTCAGTTCTTATCAATATTACTTTCATATTCACAAAAAATTGAAATTAGTTTATCTCACCTAAAGATCTACATTTCACAAACAACCAATCATACTTTGTTCTATCTTATTAAATCAAAACAATACAACAACCTATCAAATTGGAAAAGTGCAAGATCAGTGTCCTGCGTAATACCACCAAAACAAATACCCCTGTCGAAGTGTCGCGAAGTCTAGGATTTCGCCGTTACTGCTGATAGACCCCTGACCCGCGACAATATATATTTATATCGTATATTTGGTTTTCAAGTGAGACCTTTTCTTATGATCTTTCTTAATAAAAATATTAATAACCTTGCTATCTTCGGCAATTATGTATCTGCATTTGTCTTTTGTTTCTCGTGCCAGCTGTTAAAATAAACCCTCTTGGCGTGAATCGCGCAACATCCCGTGCAGGATAATGTAAGTTTGCCATATATCCTGCAGTGAGTTTTTTGGTATTTTTTTCATATAAACTCCAGTGTTTGGAACAACCTATAGTGCGAGTACAGACTTTTCCACAGACCGATCCGTCCCCTTTTGATAAGTTACGCGATGATCCGTTAGAATAATTTTGGTATAAGGATGGTGTAAATGTCTTTCACTTTTAATACACAGTTTTAAATATACTGTATTGATACCATCTGAAAAATGCAGTTAAACATTTCAACCAATTCTAGTAGAAACATATCATTATTATCACTTAATTAATATAATTACTACAAACAAAATAACAAAATGAACATCTAAAAAAATCTCAGCTTATCCACAGGTCGTTAGATCAAAGCTATTCCAAAAATTGTTGCGTGAAGGATATAACGTGTCAAAGATCTTATGCATTATTTAAAAGATATGCCACTAATAAATGTTGATGAACATTGTACAAGCTACCCCTTGGCTGATTTTTATCAATGTGACTGACTACACAGTCACAGTCTCGAAGTTTGGGACTTTTTTTGTGTCTTTAAGCAAAAAAATTAATAAAGAAACATGTACTACCACGTCACATATTCAAAATATTAATGCACGGACATAGCACTTGTTTAAACACATGACATAGTTCAATAAAAACACTACCGTTCTACGCCGTTTACGAATATGTTTATTCGTATAATGTTCCGTGAATGTGTAATTATCTTGGAAAGTCGTATCACATTTAGGACAGTCGATTTTTGTGCAACTCCAATATTTAAAATCTTTTGTTTTTTATTTAATTGTTTGTTTTAATATTCATATAATTCAATTATAGTATACTTTGATATACATATAACAGCATTGAAATAAAAAATAACATAACTATGGTGCTATTTTTCTGAAATTTAAACCATTAGATCACAGCCATATAATGCCTTATGCCTTCCAGTTGGTCTCTTCACAGCTCTCTAAGACCTCTAAAATCAAATCCAACCACCCTTGTTGTTCCCCATCAAGCTCAGCTTCGGGACGATCGATTTTATATTTGAGGATCTTGTTCTATTTGTAGGATTTTTTTGATCGAAGAGATAAGCACATTTGAAGAAAAAAATATGCTGAATGTATGAAAGTTCCAATACACACCAATTGACCTCTCAAATATTTCAATAACGTAGCTGTCTTTGCAGGACATTGCAGCCGTATCCATTTGTCAATAGACAATATCCTGATTTCATGCTTTAGTATCAAAAATGTTGTATTATTGTAAAGCGGTACATATTTTAATAAAGAAAAGAAAATTTTTATTTTCAATATACTCGCAAAACGAAAAAAAAGAGCTTGAAAGATATTTCTCACCTTCACACCAACCTCTCTCCCGAATAAAACCAAATCCACTACTTCCACTAAACTAGTTTCCCTTACATATAACTTATTGGTCTGCATCATTGTATTATACACGAACCAATCTTTTCCTAGTGATGACGCATTTGCGCTCTGGAGCGGAAAATTTATTGAGGATGGGTGTATGAAAACCTGTCTTAGTTCATGGCCAGTCATGGTATCAAACTGATTTTTTTTTGAATCTCGATGTATTACTCTGGGATACAATCCCGCAGCAATTACAGCATTAATTATATGAGTGGAGGATGAATTTGCATCATAAACTACTGGAACTCGACACATGGTTTTCGGACCAAATCTATGAAATGATCAAATAGTAAGTATAAAATTCTCATTACTTTATGAAAAAGATCAAGAACACCTGCCTGCCTAATTCGGCCTTCATATTTTCATGTACTTGCACAAATCCGATATTCACCAACAATGATAAAAATTGCTTTTTCATATCCTCGATCATTCGCAAATTTTGGTCATTCAGAAAATTGGTCTGACAAAACTCTCGCAAAACTCTTCCTGAGCCGTGCTTTTCGTAGGTTAATTTCCATTGGCAATAGGCGGAATACATTGTCAATAAATCAGAATCTCCATATTTAAATTTATTTCGTGCTGCATCAGATTCCGATTCTTTTCCAAATAGTGTAAGGAATGGACCTCGGTAACTTAGCATAGCTGCTATGGTGAGAATTGGATCGAGACATCGGAATATTGCTCCAAATAATAGCATTTTTCCAATGTGAACATCAACCGGAATGTGTGAGAGATGTATTCCAAGTGGAGTAAGTTGTTCTTCAGAGG